TAACACACCTGTTATCACGCAGTGCTTGCCGGTGAGCACCCCCGGGGAACTTTTGGAGAAGCCGGAGTCTTGCCCTTCTGTAGAATGAATATGTTTGGATAGAAGAGAAGCGAAAAGATCAGAGGCCATTCTGTAAAGAAGAGGAAAGAATAAGAGCGGAAGGATGTGTGTTGGCAAAATGCAGCCCGGTACCCTGGTCTTTCAGGCAATCCTGCCTGCTCTCCCTCCTTGTCTTGGATCTCGCGCCGCGCAGCCTATGTCCTCTGGGCTATGGCCTCTTCCCCCGTCTCCCTGCTCCTCTTTCTGCCTCTCCATGCTGTCTCCTGTGCAATCGGCTTCCAGAGAATCCTCCTGAAACACAACGGAAAGCATGCCTTCTTTGCTCTCATCCCTCCAAAGGCTTTCTAACATAACACACTCAGAATAGAATCTAAAGGCCTTTCCACGTCTCACATGGTTCTTCCCAACCCAGCCCTCCTCTGCCCTCACTCGTGATGCTCCAGCCACACCAGCTTTGTTGTTCCTGGAGCACCAGCACGTCCTAGGCCCCAGGACCTTTGCACATGCTTTCCCCACATCCTATTTCACTCTTCCCTCAGATACTTTATCTGGGACCTGCTCACACCTCATCTCCTCAGAGAGGTCTTTCTCGATGGTCTTATGTAAAATAGCCTCTCACCCTCCACCCCCTCCTCTGCTATGGTTGTTGGCTACAGCACATTGCATATTTAACATATTTGTTGTGTTTACAAGCTGCCTCCTGCTGGTAGATTCCATCAGGGTGGGGATCTCCCCTGCCTCTGCTGTCTTCCCAGCATTAGCCATGCGACTCGCAGAGTAATAGATCCTTGCGGATGGGATGAATAGGCAAGCGGAACTAGAGGCCGAAACCGAGATGATAGAACAGATTGTGTTGTCAACACTGATACTGTTAACAGTGATACAAACCCAGGGAACTTAAGGAGTGGGGATGGGGAGGAAACGAGGGCGACTTTTTCAGCACAGGAGATACATAAATACAACCTGGAGTTGAGCCATGGGGTTAAAATAAAACATAGATTCTGGCATCCTGGACGTCTTTGTAACTTTTCCCCAAAGTCCCGGGAAAGGTCTGCTCCAGAATTTGCAGGGCCTGGTGCAACATGAAAACGGGGCGGGGGGGGGGCTCCCCGTTGAAAACCGTGAAGAATTGCAAGAAGCTGACAGCTAAGCCCTGGACCCCAGCACGAGGCCCTTCCTGCCGGGTCCGCGGCCCAGGAAGCGGGCCCTGGGGACAGGTCTCAGGATATCCCATCTCTGTGGCAAGGGACGCTGCCCTGAAATCCAGTTTATTTATTCATTTTTTTTAAACTAAAGATTTTATTTATTTATTTGACAGAGAGAGACACAGCGAGAGAGGGAACACAAGCAGGGGGAGTGGGAGAGGGGAAGCAGGCTTCCCGCGGAGCAGGAGCCGGATGCGGGGATGGATCCCAGGACCTGAGATCATGACTTGAGCCGAAGGCAGACGCTCAACGACTGAGCCACCCAAGCTCCCCTTCATACTGAAACATTTTAATGGATCTATTCTTAGGGATGTTCTCAAAAGTGAAGCAAATGCTGCGTGGATGTCCCTCCTCTTCCCCGGGAAGTCGTCTTAGTGGCTCTTACTTTGAGAGAATGGGTACGGGATGAGGGGCCTTCCCTATGCCCTGTGCTGCTTACTCTCACTTGCTCTTCCGGGTCCTGTGAAGGTGTCTGACTGCTGGATTTCATGCAGAGGTGAAGTTCATCCATAGAGTATAGAACCACCAGGTGAAACGCGTCCCGTTGCTGCCATCACCCCGATGGGCACTCAATGGGCCTTGTTCTCTAGGACTTAACCTTTTACAAAAGACACACTTCACACGCTTTTTTTTAAAAGATTTTATTTATATATTTGAGAGAGAGAGAGAGAGAGAGAGAGCGCATAAGCCAGGGGTAGAGGCAGAGGGAGAGGGAGAAGCAGACTCCCCACTGAGCAGGGAGCCCGATGCGGGGCTCGATCCCAGGACCCCGGGATCACGACCCGAGCCGAAGGCAGACGCTCAACGACTGAGCCACCCAGGCGCCCCTGAAATGCAGTTTAAATTCAGTCGTGTCTCTCGTGTTGGATTCGTGGAAATGCCTTCTTTCCTGTTCCGTATCATGACGGTGTGATGTCACCGTCCTGATACGATGCCGCTCTGCATGGGCCCGCAGGACCTAGGCCCTATGCAATTTCCCCCAATTACAGCCCAGCGATGAGGATTTCTGGGCGAGACTCGGACCTCCCTGCGTTGCCCGAAGGCTCGGAAAGGGGCGCGGGTCGCGAAGTCTTCCCCCCGGGGCCTCCTTGCCGCCTGCGGCGCGGGGCTCAGGCCCCCGCGCGCCCCCCCCCCGCGAGCTCGGGGCCGCCCCGCCTGCGCATGCGCGGGCCGTTGCAGGGCCGGAACTCGGGTTCGGGGCTGCGCGGCCGGCGGAGCGCGTTGCGCGAGGCGCCGGACGTCGCGCGGCGGTGGCGGCCGGCGGCGAAGCTGGAGCGGCGGTGGCGGCGGCGGCGGGAGGCCGGGGCCGGGGCTGAGGCCGGGGCTTCGAGGCCCGCGGGGCGGCAGGCGGCGGCGGCCCGGGGTTCCAGCCCGGAGACGGGAGCGGCCGCCATGGCCGAGAGCATCGTGAGTGGGGCGGGAGCGGGAGCGGGGCGCCGGGATGAGGCAGCAGATTTACCGGCGCGGCCTGTGGGGCGGCGGCCCCCCTCCGGCCGCTCCGCGACCGCCGGCTCCGCGGGTCCGCCGGGCCGGGGGCGGGGGGCGGGGGGCCGGGGCGCGCCCCGCCTGGGCTCGAGCCCCCGCGGGGAGAGCGCTGGGTCCGGAGGGGCCTGGCGGACGCCGGGGCCGTGAGGACGGGAAATCGGCCGCCGGCGTCTTCTGGGGCTTGGTGGCGAGGACGGCGGGACGGCTGCCGTTGGAGGAGGGCGGCTCCGCAGGTCGACCTCACGCGGGACCCGAAAGTGGGAATCGGCGCGTGCCCCCCAAGTGAGGGAAGTCGGTGAAAGTGAGGGACATAAGCCCCCGAACCAAAGCAGCCCCGCGCTGGCTTGCGGCAGGTTCCCCCTCAGGAGCAAGTGGGAAGAGTCAGCAGCGTGTCGCTTGACGTTAAGGGTGCGGGGGTTTGGGGGGGGCAAAGGCGTATCGGGCGGCCGGTCGCATCCACGCCTCCCTCCGCGGCCGGCGGCTGCGCTCGGCCGCGGCCGTCCGCCCTGAGGGCCTTGGGTCTGGGGAGGGAGCCCGGGAAGAGCAGAGGCAGCAGATGGCCCCGGAGACGCGAAAGGCAGCGGCTCTTTCAAGACACGACTTCCTCGTCGTCGTCGACTTCTAGGAAAGGATGCGGATCCGGGCTCAAAGGAATCTCCGTCCAGATTCTCTCTCTACTGCAGTACTTTCAAATCAAGCACGGACAAACGAGCTGTTTCAGAAAAGGATGTAGTTAAGCCAGAAGAAGACATTTTCTGCCTCAACAATTGGGATTTCGTAACGATTATTCAAAACAGCCTTAAGAATTGAGAACAGAATCAGGGCAAAGCCTCTTCAGTCAAGTGAAAGTAGAAAATGAGAAAGTCAAACTATTTTAGGAAAATCTAGATTCATCTCGTTTGATAAAAGTGGACAGTAGATCAAAAGCCATCGTGGCATTTTATCGCGTATCAGTGAAATCTTTTTTTTTTTTTTTAAGATTTTATTTTATTTATTTGAGAGAGAGAGAATGAGAGACAGAGAGCATGAGAGGGGGGAGGGTCAGAGGGAGAAGCAGACTCCCTGCCGAGCAGGGAGCCCGATGCGGGACTCGATCCCGGGACTCCAGGATCATGACCTGAGCCGAAGGCAGTCGCCCAACCGACTGAGCCACCCAGGCGCCCCGAAATCTTTTTTTTTTTTCAATTAAATGCTTTTCTGCTAGCGTGTGTACAAGGCTCGGTGCTTACTGAGAGCGTTGGCTGTCCTCGAATTGCGTCTGGTGTAACTGCTTTTTGTCTTGCCAATTCTTCGACTCTCCCAAGAAGTATTCTGGGCTCATTTTCTTAAAAATGGTGAAGCCGAAGTTACCAGGAGGCTGTGTGTGTGTGTGTGTGTGTGTTGCCAGGTCTGTCTCTTCTGGAGTATTTTACTTTGTAGCCTGTGTCAGATTCGAAGCGAGAACTTCCCTCACTACCAACTAGGTTTTTCTGTTGGACTTAAATACTGGGCTCAGTCGACAAACCTGGACTGCCATGCCCTGTTGTAGATGATCAAAGACGGTAACTTCTTAAGTTTTAGAACCCTCCGGAAACACGGAAGCCGGACCTTTAGCTCCTCAAGGAGTGTCATGCTCTTGTTCCCAAGTGAACAAAGGAACGGTCACAAAAGCTCCTGCAGAGAAACCAAACTCTTAACGTGCCCCAGTGTGGGAGACAGATTTCAGAAACGAATGGAATTGGCTGGTGCCCATGCTGCGTATTATGAAGACATTTTTCTAGGTTTTGAATCCACAGTGAAGGGTAAAAGTTAGAAGAATTTGTATTCTTCTGTATACAGCATACAGTATACAGCAAAAAGAAGATATTTTCTGCCTTAACAATTGGGATTTCATAACAATTATTCAAAACAGTCTTAAGAATTGAGAACAGTATCAGGGCAAAGCCTTTTCACTCAAGTGAAAGTAGAAAATGAGAAAGTCAAACTATTTTAGGAAAATCTAGATTCATCTGGTTTGATAAAAGTGGACAGTAGATCAAAAGCCATTGTGGCATTTTATCGTGTATCAGTGAAATCTTTTTTTTTTTTTCAATTAAAACTCTGTGGGTTTTTTTTTAAGATTTTATTTTTATGTAATCTCTACATTCAACATGGGGCTTGAACCCACAACCCAAAATCAAGAGTTGCAGTCCTCACTGACTGAGCCACCCAGGCACCCCAGTGAAAATAGTTTTTAAAAAACAATGGTTTGTGCTCGCTTCGGCAGCACGTATACTAAAATTGGAAGGCAGCACGTATACTAAAATTGGAACGATACAGAGACGATAAGCATGGCCCCTGCACAAGGATGACATGCAAATTCGTGAAGTGTTCCAAAACAAACAAACAAACAAAACACAAAAAACAATGGCTTGTGACACTTTTCATGTGTAAAGGGTTTTTTTTTTTTTAAAGATTGTATTTATTTATTTGACAGAGAAGTGAGAGCAGGAACACAAGCAGGGGGAGTGGGAGAGGGAGAAGCAGGCTTCCCGCAGAGCATGGAGCCCGATGTGGGGCTCAATCCCAGGACCCTGGGATCATGACCTGAGCCGAAGGCAGACGCTTAACAACTGAGCCACCCAGGCACCCTGGTTTTGTTTTTTTTTTTTTTTAAAGTGTTTTCAGTACAGTGCACAGTGCAGTAATTGCTGAGAAGAGAAACCATCATGAGTACTTGGTGGTGTATTCCTGCCTTTCTTCCTACCCCTCAAATCGTTGGAGCATCGTCTGCCTTGTTTGTGGCAGGGCATGCCTTTTCATGCTCCCTGACGAAAGCAGGAACTTGTTCAGTTGGCCAGGCATAGTAACTCACCTTCAGAAGGACTTTGATCTGTATAAAAATCAAGTCCTAGAAGATGATGCTCTTTGTGCAGTGTTCCAGGCCTGCCAACCATTTCAGGCTTGCCATAAAAGTATTTTTTTAAAACCCTGCTATGTTTACCATGATGTCAAACACCTTTATTTCTTTTCTTTTAGTCTTTCTATTAAAGGGAAATAACAAATTAGAAGATATCCTGTGATTCTTTTAGATCATTCTAATTTTTGCCTATAGATTCTAGAACAAAGAGATCTTTATTTTTTATTTTTATTCTTATTTTTTAGTCAATTGCGTTTAAAATTTTTAATTTATTTTTTAAGTAATCTCTACACCCAACGTGGGACTTGAACTCAAAACCAGAGTGGGATGCTTCATCAACTGAGCCAGCCAGGTGCCCTCAAAGTGAGATCTTTTTCAGAGAACCCAGTCATTCATGATTCATGGAGGGTTTTTTTTTTTTTCTGTTGTGTTATTGTTGTTTTTGTAAATCTGAAAACTAAGTGTTTTTTGTTTTTTTGTTTTTAAGATTTTATTTATTTGACAGAGAGTGAGCACACAAGCATGGGGAACAGTGGAGGGAGAGGGGGAAACAGGCTCCCTGCTTAGCAGGGAGCCTGACACGGGGCTCAATCCCAGGACCCTGGGATCCTGACTCGACCCGAAGGCAGACGCTTAACCATCTGAGTCACCCAGGCGCCCCGAGATAGCTAAGTGTTTCACATATATTCCTTGTAAATAATGGTTAAAAATTTTTCTGGGTGAAATGACCAGAGTTGAGAGGGACTCTCAAGATATCTTTGCATAGGTTGGTGAATCTCATACCTCTTCTTCATCTTTTAGAAATACTTGGGTGTTGCACGGGGAAGGGTGAGGTTTGGCTCTAAGTTTCGGTGACCCAGATGCTGAAAGACTGCAGATGTTAGTCTCAGTTAGAGGTCAGGAACTTACTAGTCTGTGCAGTAACCACCTTGTTTCATTTGTGACAGATAATTCGTGTCCAGTCCCCAGATGGGGTGAAGCGGATCACAGCCACAAAGAGAGAAACAGCCGCAGCGTTTTTGAAAAAGGTAGTGGTGGCTTGGGTATTTGCATCTTCATCCTCTCCTGTTACTCCCTTCCCATCTGTACCTTCCCTCTCCTCCTCAGTCCTTGATTCTGCCCACTCCCTAGTTTACAGTGTCTTGCATTGCTCTTCTCTCACATGACTGGATTGATCCAGGGTCAGATTGCATCACAGTTGACCATGGCTTACAGCTGTGGTGGCCAAAAAGAGTTGTGTGTAAGAGTAGTTCATGAGACTAGTACTTAGGAGAATGAAAAATTGGAAAAATTAGAGAGTGAAGGACTTGAATTGTCCATCAAAAGAGAAATGTTAAAAATACGTATAGAGTAATCCCACTTTATTCTTAGAAAATTAGAGCCACAGGGGGCGCCTGGGTGGCTTAGTTGATTAAGTGTCTGACTCCTGGTCTCAGCTCAGGTCATGATCTCAGGGTCCTGGGATCGAGCCCCACGTCAGGCTCCATGCTTAGCACGGACTTTACTTCTCTCCTTTTTCCTCTCTTGCCTGCGCGTGTGTGTTCTCCCTCTCTCTCTCTCTCTCTCTCTCAAATAAATAAAAATAAAGAAAATGAGAGCCACATACACAGATCTGTTGTGAATTTACAGAATGTAATGTAAAAGAGCACAGCCAGACTTAAAAAGGGTAACCCTGGGAGGAGAGCCCTGTAGTAAGGAGTGGCTTAGGCTTTATACCTCATAGCAGAGATCAGTAAACTATGGTTTGTGGGATGACCTCCTATTCTTCCCCCTGGCACACAGATTGCATTTCCCTGACTTTTTTTTTTTTTTTAAGATTTTATTTATTTACTTAGTCATGGGGGGAGGGGAGGGGCAGAGGGAGAAGGAGAGAGAATCTCCAGCAGACTCTGAGCTAAGTGTAGATTCCAGTGTGGGGTTCAATCTCATGACCCTGAGATCATGACCTGAGCCGAAACCAAGAGTTGGTCACTTAACCGACTCTGCCACCCAGGTGCCCCCTATTTTTGTAAATAAAGTTTTGTTGGAACGTAGCCACACTCACTGGTCTAGTTATTGTCTGGCTGCTTTTGCGCTCCAACAACAGAGCTGAGTAGTTGTGACAGAGACGGTATGGCTTGCAAAGCCAAAAATATTTACTGTGTGGCCCTTTCCAGAAAAGGTTTGCCAACCATTACTTTTTATAGTCTGTGTTATTTGAATCTGTTGCAAACAGGTGTTACATTTGTAATAATAAGTGTTTCTCATTTTCTGTTTTTGTTTTTGTTTCTCATTTTCATAAGCACATACAAGCTTTGGGGTTATGGACTTTCAGAGCCAGAGGGAATCCTAGGTGTCATGGAGTCCAGTCTTTTTATTTTCACAAAGGTGGAAACTGAAGGCCTAGGAAGTAAAGATACTTGCCAAGGATCACTGGGTTGCGGTCTAAGCCACAACACTTACTTGGGAAATCTGGTTCCTAAAAGGTAGTTGCTATCATGCTTGCCATAGCACTGCTTGTGGGGCGTATTTATAAGAATAAGAGAAAAAAGAATTAGATGCAATAGGCACCAGAGTGGAGGGTCTCTGAGTCTTTAAGAAATTTGTAATTTCCTACTCTTTGCTCTTTGAGTAGCCGCTGACTGTGGCCCGCTTGCTCCTAGAGATGGTGCTAGGGTATGGTGCATGCTGGAATTTATGAGAGATCATCTGAGACCGAGACGAAGCATCAACGCATTGTCTATTGCTTAGATAATTGTGTGGATAAACACCAGGCATCAGAGGACTGCATGCAGTTCTTTTTTTTCTCTGAGGCTTTGGGGTAGGGAAATTTCTTTTCCTTTTTTTTTGATAGGGAAATTTATTATTATTTTAAATCTTTTATTTATTTGAGGGGCGCCTGGGTGGCTCAGTCATTAAGCATCTGTCTTTGGCTCAAGTCATGATCCCAGGGTCCTGGGATCGAGCCCCACAGCCCTACATTGGGCTCCTTGCTCTGCGGAGCATCTGCTTCTCCCTTTGCCTGCCACTCCCTCGCTTGTGCACGTGCACACTCTCTCTGACAAATAAACTATTTATTTATTTATTTTTAAAGGTTTTATTTTATTTTTTAAAATATTCTTCTTCTTTACCTGACAGAGAGAGAGAGACAGTAAGAGAGGGAACACAGCAGGGGAGTGGGAGAGGGAGAAACAGGCTTCCCGCCGAGCAGAGAGCCTGAAGTAGGGCTCGATCCCAGGACCCTGAGATCATGACCTGAGCCGAAGGCAGACGCTTAACGACTGAGCCACCCAGGTGCCCCTAAACGAATTTTTAAAGTAAAGTAATTTCTATACCCACCGTGGGGCTTGAACTCACAACCCTGAGATCAAGAGGTGTGTGCTTCTCCAGCTGAGCCAGCCGGGCGCCCCCAGTCTAAACCATTTTAAGACTACAGTTCAGTCGTGTTAAAGTACATTCATGTTATGCAGTCATTACTACCATCCATTTCCAGAACCTTTTCATCTTGCAAATCTGAAACTGTGTGCATCAGACAGCAGCTCCCCTTTTTTTCCCTGCCCCCAGTCCTTGGTAACTGCCTTCGTATTTTGTGTCTTTATGACTCCTTCAGGTATCTTACTAAGTCGACCATACTCCTCTTCAATAATTGGTAATTTGGCTGTGCATGTGCATAAGTGGGCCTGAAGCAGACCTGTGGGCTGACCGCTGTGAACGTGCCGGCTCCAGCTTGCTGGGCCCACGTTTGAAGCCTCGATCCTGCTTTACTATGTGGCTTATGCCCTCTTAGGGATTGCTGTTTGCAAGTATGAGGAGATGGGTGACGTTGAGGAGATCTCACAGAGTTTTGGAGTTGTCGGTTCTTTCGAGACAATCTAGCGCTGCTCGTTCTGTGGCCCATCGGACTCTCAGCCCTTCGCGGACAGTCTTCTGCCTGTCTTGCTCAGCAGCAGCTCCCCTTCCTCAGCTCACTGTGTCGGGCTGCTGTCGCTCCCCCGCGTGGCCTAGAGGATGGCTTTGTCCTGTCCTCACTGACCTCAGCAGTCTGTGACCCGCTCCGTTCTCCTTATATTTAATTTTTTTTTTTTTTAAACCACGAAGTAAAATACATACTAAGAAATGCTTGAAAAATATGGACAAATGACTGATGGTGAAGCAAACACATAGGTCAAGGAGGGGCATGGTGGGTGCCGCAGAGCCGGTCAGCCTTCCCCCCTCCCTCACTGCCTCCGGCGTTGACGAGGATGGCTTCCCCCTTACCTGTGTTGTGCCACCTCAGCGTGCATTCCTAAACCCTAAACTGCACTTTTGCCTGTTTTTGAATTTAACGTGAATGGAATCCTGCTATGTGTTCTTTTTTGTTACCTTTAATTGTAAGTGTATTAATTTCATTCCATGCTGTGTTTCTGGTTTTATTACATCAGTTATACACAAAGTTTACCTCAGGTGTGAATATAAGGTTTTTAAGATTTTTAAGATCTATTTATTTATTTGAGAGAGAGTGTGA